AATTAACAGTAGTACCTATACCGTGCATTCATGCAGGGTTGCAAGTCCATGCACAAGTGTCTGGTGGTCGATTTTGGTTCTTCAAAACGCAAACAAATTGGCACATTTTGCATCAGACAACACTCAATTCGCTCTTCTCACTGCATTATTCCCTCTTGCAACCCTGCAATACCTCCACCTGACACAGCATCTTCGAACGACTAAACCTGTACAGAGACCTTCGAAAGACCACATAAAATCAATTCAATCAGACGCGTTAAAACAAGTTAGATATGCTCAATAGTCATACGACCATAAAGCAGACTCTGTGGATTGGAAGAGGATATCAGTACCGCCTTCGACAAGAAAATGCACTCAAATTGGTTCCAGCAAAGGAGAAATCGATATGATAAAGAGCAAGGGCCTATTTGTTCACTATTTGGACAAATTTGATTTCCAAAAATGCTGCGCATTTGCGAAAAATCAATAAACCAGCCTAAACCGAATGACCACGTGAGCGAACCAACCATGTGCGTGAGAAGAGGGAGGGCTTAACCAAACGTATCAATCGCCTACACAACTAGGCAAGGTCCTTCGATATCACACTAGACGTCTCCGTTGGCAGCGATTCTTGCCAAAACAACTGGTTTTGCTCAACCTGGACCGACTTTGAGTTCGTAGTGTAGGATACCGAGTACCCAGAGAAGGGTTAGAAAGCCACTCACAGTGAAGGTTCGAAACTTGATGACCAATCGTGCTGATTCAGGTGCATTTGTTATTACTCAGTTGATGCCAGCACTGGGTAGGCGGTTCGAAAGAAGTATTTGAATTCAGCTGTGGAGAATGGTGAGTGTTCGAGGTTGGACACACAGAGAGAGAGGGTCAAGTTGCCCAGGGGCCACCAGATGAACTGCATAATCACAGAAACCGATCAAGCGTGGACCGTGTCGACGGTCTTCAATCAATAACCTTTACCACCATTTATGGGTAGTCACAGTAAATCCATTCGTGCTCTGCACCTCCATCAGTCCAGTTTCATAGGAAGCTACTGCGTTCGTCTACGATTGCCCTCGCCTTGCTTGTGCGTATTAGCAAATCATACCGCAGCTTGTATGCTGTAAAATGCGCGTAGGTAATAGGCCAATAAACGAGCAAGTAATAAAGACGTCGTCCACCCTGTAGCCGCACTCTCAGACTCCCTGTCCCCGCTTTATCACCGTGCTCATCACTCACGCAAACACGTCTGAATAACCAGTCCTGGTGACGCAACATCCTATCACTCATCCCAGGCTGCTCGTACATGTCCTGCTTCATCCGATTTCTATTGGTTGACAGTCCGACCACAGAGGTCTCTCCTGTCCACATCTCTGCAAACACGCAGCAACACCAGGGCGATGCCATCTGATGGGTGACTGTCTCCGTTGTCTTCGATCTTCTCAATCCTCATGGATATTTTCATAGGTTTATGGGGGGACCACGGTGCGGACCGAGACCCATGCCAGTGGCTCAACAGGACAATAGATTGGTTCGTCCTTTGGCAGTGTACGCCGCCTTTTTTTAGTTTTATGCATGGCATGATCGACGCAATTCCTACATGGTAGCCCACTTGGCAATAATGCACCAATTAACATGTGAATAAAGTAGACGGTAAAAAAGTAATCTCACATATCTGTAGGCGGCAGGATCGTTTTTTGTAGATCTCAACGAACGGGCCTGTTCTCTGTTTACGCAATTTTATAATCTGTTTACCACTAACGGGATTGTTCCCCCAGTCCAAATGTGCACAAGGAAAAAGGTTCAACGAAAATGTGCCCAACACAAGACCATCCATACCTACGAAGCCACGACGTTTGCAGCAGCGTTAACTGATGCTAATGTAACCTCGGGTAGCCTTTTCTGCAGCCAATGTGAACTCAGAAGGCTCACGAGAAGAAGCCCTGAGTGCTGGAAGCAGACAGAGCTCAGCTTAGCACTCTGCTGCGTGTTTTGAAGTTCGGTGACCACTATTGCCATCAGCGTTTTGAAACTTTAACAGTCAAAGTCTGGACACAAAAACAACAAATTATGTCATTTAACAGATTCAATCAAGGACGTAAAACGCATCTAGTATGTTGGAATCTGCAATGGCATCAGCCGGATTTCCCTCTTCATGCCTACAACGATTACAGCCTCACAGCACCAAACTAGTGCAAAACCGACATTCGACTATACGTCATTAATCACAGCTGCACGGGTGTACTTGCTAGCTTGGCCGATGTTCAAGCAGAACACAGTCAGCAAAGCTACATCCAACCGACACCGATTTACACAAGACGCAATTCCATGGCTCCTTCTACCTTCAGGCTCTAGTCCGGCAGACAGTGCACATTGTCTTCCTCATCGACAGTGACAATCTCAGACTAGTAAAAGGGGCTTTCCAAGAAAAACCTACTCCGAATTCACCCATCACAATGATGATCTAGTTCGTGCAACGTAGTGTCTCCGAGGTTGCATTAAGCAAAGGCAATTAACGAGGCCAGACGACCACCAACGAAGTCGTCGTAAAATGCCATCAAGCTGAGTAGTGTGGGTGAGTCATCCGACGTTAACAGCCGCATTCACATTTGACTGTGCACACTCGACGGTTGGAGTGCTCCCAATGACACCTCCGACGTCGGAGCAGCTGTTTGCAACGACTGCACCATTCCCTCCTCCTTCTAACTGCAGTAGCAGTCACAACAGAATCATACAACGCCTTGCAATGTCGCCACTTCCCAACTAACCGGTTCCTTCATATTTACGAGAAAATAGGGATTCACTCAAAGGCCGTTTCGCAGTGTTACTCCTCGGAAGGTGCTTGTTTGCTCATTCCAAGTCGACTGCATCGCCTTAACTGGTGGAGACGCGTACCCTCGTGTCGACGGCAGTGTGCATGAGGACATCACCAACATGGGACAATTTAGAGCCAGAATGCCACAGGGCAAATTCGGCATCAATCACATGCTTCCACAGGGCCATATTGCACTAACACATCACTCCAGGATTCACGCTAATTGTGTGAATCGCCTGGCTTGTGAATCTAAAGAGAGTGCAGTGCAAGTCACATGTCTGATAACGTCACAGTCAATCAATGCGTCTGTGCTGCCGTGGCGTGAATGTGGTGAGTGGGACTGTGGCAGTGTTAGTAGCGTGCTCGGGGAGTTGGATTAGATGTGGGGCTGCGGTAGGAAGTCCTTCAAGCGTGAACTTTTTGTGCACATCCGAACGTGCTGTTCATACGATTGTGATAATTTTAGCAACAAACGGAAGGCGTTTCGAAATTGCACACTGGTGCTGAGAATTGTGCCGTGTAACACTCATTTGCAACAATTTTAACAACCACCATCATCAAGAACAAGTGATGCCCTTCAAATTTGCAAACACATCAAAGCAACTGGACCCAAATTTAGACGTTTTTTACTGAAGGAATGTGTCTTCACCACAAAGAAATCCAAGAAGGCGAAGTGCGGTGCCTCAAAATGTGTGATTCCTTTCAGTAAAATATTCGGTAACGTTCATTCTCGAATCGATCATGCGGGTATGTGCGTGTGTGTGTGCGTGTATGTTATCCTGCCTGTGTAGATCTGGCATGTTATTCCAGATATTTATAGTCAGCAATCATCAATAGTACAAAAAGCTGCTTCAAATCACACTTGGATGAGCAGCCATCGCATGTAACTGCTCGCGTTGTCTACCAAGCCAAATGTGTTCCTGGATAGTGCGTAAATAGCAAATCTTCTATGCAGGAAGTGACAACTTTGCTTTTCCTTTTAACTCTATTGTAATAACATGCAACGTTTATTGGTGTGTGCCGACTTAAGCAATTCGTGAAGGGGTGTTTTGAATGGGTCGCCACTCGTTCACTCAAAATGGCTAGTGCTGGTGCATAATCCAAGTCCATGGCAAGTAGACAGTCAGGCACCACGGAATGACGTGAGTCAAATTTGGGGTGGAAGGAGGTTGGCGTTGTTGTGTGGACATTCGAGGGTTGCGTTTCTTTCCTGCTGGCAGTGAACAAATAGACAAATCAAACGAGGGATTCGCGCCCACTTGTCTGATGCCCACTCACTTAGTCTTCGACAGTGAAGTACGAATGTGAGGCCATGGTTACGGGCAGGTTACATTTCATCAGGATCACAACCCGCGGCATATGGAGCAATCGCCTCCTCATTAGCCCCCTCCATTGAGGCTGCTGCTCAACGACACGCGTGATCTCGCATTGACGTTTTGAATGCCGACACTCAGAGGTGTGGTGCTCTGTGCATGCTTCAAGTGGACGCTCATGAGTGGTGTGCGGATGATCGCACGTGTAAATCAGCTGCGTTAGTTGGGTTATTGGCTTTGTCTAATGACTCGGTTCATCATTCAGCCAATGCAAATATTGCAGCAGTGCAAAATGCTAGCACGGCACCAATGCCATTGCCTTGGGCCCAGATAGCTGCTTCTACCCAATGGGGCCTCGTTCCGCTCCAAGGTGTGTGTGAATCATGGCGATTCGTCGAGCCACACACACCATGCAGGGCTGTGCGGACACTCAGCAAAATCTGCCCTCAGGCAACTTCGAGTCTTCACTGAACTGGAATGCTCATCTAGCTACGACTAGCTACATTTCAATGTACGAACATTAGACCAGGTCTTTGGAGACATGAATGTATTTATCACTTAATCAGTATCGATCATTTTTCGTGCAAATTTCATCAAAATGCGCAACCGCCATTAAGCCAAGCTGACACCTCAAACATCGAATGTGCCCTCAGGCATATGCCAATCCACTGCATCATTTCGGCACAAAAGGGGACTTGCATTAGGGCTGCAGAAGCACGTTTATTAAGTGCAAATGAAATAAGGCATGCTTGAACTAGGCAAAATATCTGCTTTGGGAATACAAACCTCAAAAACGAAACAAAACAAAACAAAAGATAGCTCTGATAAAAATAAGTCAAACTCGTGTCTTTGTAGTAGTAGTAAATGCCCGCGTCAACGATCGTAGAGCCAACAACCGCCTATATTACAAACTGGTACGTGTTGAGTGGTCCGTCGATTCGCCTCAAAATATTCTTCGCATAATAGGACCTACAAGCAAAAAAAGAGCACCACTCAATGGGATGAATGCAATCGCATCAAGCCTGTAGGTAGGAAGGTAGGTGGAAGGTGGAACGAACCTCAACGAACGCTTCAGATGATCAACGTTCATCTTCGTCCTGCCTTTCACTTGGCCCCACAACTTCGCCAAGATGGACGCGTTTGTCAGCCGAAACACCGCATTCTCCTTCGAAACCCATTCAATCAGCGCAGGATTGCATTGTTCGTCGTTGAGACACATGAGGAGGAACTGCCACAGAACTGGCGTGTGACGACTTCTCAGGCGTATGCCTACAAAAACACAAACGAACACAGGTTCCGCGGGCACAATGCGGAATTGATGACCACTTTCAGCAATAACTGGTTGTTCGGTTGTCCGACTTACTGGAACCCATTAGAGCGAAGGACTGCTCAGACGGTCGAAAGAAGGCGCTCACGGGGATCTCTTCGCCGACTTCATGTCCATCGTCGGAACTCTCACTGAGACAATCACCGCAGTCGGCGTCACTGAAATGCCCCTGCGTGTCAACGTCTCTTTTCACTGACAGATCCAGTGGCTGGTCGTCATCTGAGCCGTACAACAGCTGCTCCATCACGGTATACCGTTGATTGGCCTCGAGCCCATCCTCAGCCCGCACGTCTGTGCTGAGCGACTGGAAAAGAGTCCTGAGATCGGAGAAGGCTACAATGCAGCAAACAAGAGGCGCATGCTTATCTACGCTCAAAGCGACTTCGAAAGACTACTGCACCGAAAGACGCGTCTTACCAGGCACACTGCTCCTGTACATAGCCAGGTATGCCACTGTTGTGCAAGCCCCTGCTTTATATACATACCTCAATGCAGCCTCTTCAGATGTGGTGCTGTCAACCCACTTCAAACTCAACAAGTCGCAAATTTAGTAACTATTTAATGTGCTCAATTCTGCACGCGTCTGTAAGCAAATGGGAGTGCATGCTTTGCACACTCGGTGCAAAAATCCTCCACCATCACGTTAGCGATAAATTAACTGCAATAACAGGAGCACTCAATGCCAATGCTCCAACCCACTATGCAATCCGTGCGTGCAACTATTCCCGATTTTTTCAGGAGTAAACCAGCCGAGGTGTGCATTCTTAACTCGCTCCTTCACTACGGAATCCTAATGTTTAGCTTGTGCTAGTGACCAGCCTGAGTGGCGCACACTGTCGACTGACTTTCCCGCTGTTCACCTATTCGTGTCCACCAGGTCCTGTTGGCTGCCATGGTTGTCTCAGTTTGGTAACGCCCTTTCCGTTAAGTATGCTTTGCGGCAGCATGCCAAACTAAGTTGGAATAAAAAGTGCTATAGGCAGATTGGTGTACTGAGGCTGAATCAGGTTCAGAAGAGATTGCCAAAGTCGACAAATAAAAGTCCCATGATGAAGCAATTGGTTTCATTGGCATAAATTCAAGATCAACGCGATAGCTCACGTGACAAGATGCTTCGAGAGGGCTGGGTAGCTGGTTGTGGAAAAGGCTTCTTCAACAGCACTGAATAGAAGATCTTGACAAGCGAGGGTAACGATTCTGCACAAAGACCACCAAAGAATAATAACACAAGCGGAAAGGTCATTGTGTTCGCTTGTACAGTCAAAGATCGTCACGCACTTAAGGACGCCTCAAACATGGCCTGCAATGAGATCGAAAACTACCTGATACAACCAGACTGAGTTTATGCAGTTCACATGGAAAATGCTAGGCTTTGTCGTGGCTTTGTTTTAGTCTTATAATTGATGTTGATATTGACCGCCTTAATTGGGCAGCAAGTGTTTTCCGTTCATAATGCAGGTAGTGACATTTATTCGCAGAAAAATCCCTCTTAAACTGTCCTTGCCATGACAAGGAATATCTATAGCCGTTGATAAGATTAGCCTGAAGGTAAAGTAACAGGCTTTTGGGAAACATCCGTTTAACTTTTACACACAAAATCCACTCTACTTTGACCTCCACACCAAACCTGACAACGCTCGGATATCAGCCACCAAACACTCTGCCTTACTGCTATTGCCCTCGACTGACATATCGGAAAAAGACACTTTTGGTTTGGTGGTTCTGAAATTCAACAGCCCCTTATCTTGCTCTCCTTCTTGTGGGGCATTTCGAAGAGTTACAAGCGTGAATGCCAGATGAATTGGCACCCACACACACGCTCCAATATCTTCTCAGCATCTTCGGTGTTTTTATTGATACGACGAAAACAACTGCTGCAGTGGTAACGTCATTCAAATCAAGCAACTGCTCTCATGCAAGACGTATTGGTTTCAAAGCTGCGCAGTGAGTCAATTCGGTAGGAACAGTCGACTCGAAGTTGACATACCCTGAGTCTAACAGGGCAGCCTCCGCATCTACTCCAATATCACAACGCCACAACTAGAGTCAGGACGTGACTGCATTGCAACCATAACCTGGCAGAATGCCGCAACCCCAAATATCTAGTCCTCATTGCCGGTGTGTGCAATTTGACTGGAATAATTCAAGTCGGTTAGTGCCGCATCGCAATGCTCAATTGCGTCGATCAGCAGGCACTTGTGTTCTGTTCACGGTAGAATTCACTTGGACTTGTTAAGCTAGCACCTGGTAGAGAAGGCTGCAGGCTGATTTCCAAGGTGTCACATACACCTGATGTTGATAGCCAGGCAGCGATCGGTGGCACACACCGCGCTGTCAGCTTACCTCATTTTAATACAACATGGTTTCTCTCTACTAATCTCCCATCTCATCAAGCCACCTTACTCGAATGCTCTAATTGCTAATCCATAGAGGTGGATTGTTGACACGCAAAAAGGAGTGTGGCGTGATGTGCGAAACAGTTTCGAAAAAGCAAGCTCGAAGCACACCTTAGGCTGTTTGAATGCCGTTGAATGAATTCTGTATTTGCACCTGTTAGCTCCACCCAAATACCACTACAGATGGCGCAACGATTGGGCTCTGATAAGTCAATTGAAACGCCTACGCCAACAAGTAACGGCATTTTGATTCTGCGTTTGTGGCAGTGAGTGAAAGCAAATGCTGCCCCTAGCGTAAGATGCAACGGCGCCGAGATCAGGTGTCCTTGTTCGTCTACACTGGAATGTATTTAAACGCATCCAGATGTACTTGGAGTGAGCACGATTGTACCATGTCCGTCATTACTGGAATGAAATTAACGTCGAAAATCATCTACACTCATCCGACTGAGCTTGTAGTGAATGCTATTGGTTCACGTTCATGCAGCTGTTCCCTACGGTCTGCACACTGCACCACCTCCCTGTGCACCTCCATGAGGGACCATCAGTTCTCACACACATCGTTGCATGTACCCCCACCACGTCATCCATGCAACTCTTCTCACCATTCAACTATTTGTACCTACCTTAACTACTTCGCCCACATTACTGATCAATAAGCACATTATGCACACACACAACCACATACGCACGAACGCACGCACGAACGCACGCACGAACGCACGCACGAACGCACGCACGCACACACGCTCACCGCACACACGCATGCACAACTTGGTTGAGCTGTCTGGTAAATTGTGATGTCTCTGCCACCTCGTCTTCCACTAGTCTTCTCGGGTGTATGAGCAGCGTGAACGGCCACTTCCAGCCAGCTGATTCAGCCTGGTACAAGACCACATGTCGGGCCCTCATGACACCCCACCAAATACATTCATCGTCACAACAACACCCACCACACTGGGTGAGCACACTTGCATCCTCCTTGCACACCAAACATGCCTATTTCCACTACCAATTTTAGCGAAGCACTGACGCTCAATCGCCCCACACACACACGTCAACTTTAAACGACGACATTATACAACACGACATCAAGATCGTCAACACAGCCTACTTTGATAAGGCGTAGGAACATACGTGCTGAGTGATGGAGGTAGCTAATTCAACTCTATTTTCCAGAACTGAATCACGCCACACGCATCTGGGCAAACCTGGCACAGCACACTACCTATGAGGCTGTCAATATCTTGAGAAAACACATTCTGCTCGATCACCAACACCGTGTTGTTCCGATCAAATACTGCGTGTGCCCTTATCCACCTCAAAGTAGCCCTCGCCTTGCAACACTGCGCGATGCTGCCTGTGCCTAGTCAACAACACTCCAGCCACATGCTGCTGCTGCTGCTGCTGCTGTTTAGCCTGACTCCTGCTTGTCGTCGGTCACACCAGTAGTAGATCTCTGAACCAACCGTGCATGCAATATGATTGTTGGTAATTTCAGTAGCAGAAATTGATGTGCCGGTGTAGCATACTACGCGGATAACGGACTTGAGCAGCGTTTTACAGAGTTGCTGACGGAGCCGTCACACAGCCCAACGCACGACGGTGGGAAAGAAGGGTACGGTTCACTTTGATGTTACTGCCTTTTGAAATCAACCCAGCAATGATTCACTGTCGCTGCGGTCGCTTGACTGGCAGCAACCTCAGAGAATATTGGTTTTCTAAACGAAGTGCCACCGGAACTACTACTGGTATTCGTACGGGCACGTGTTCGCGTTCTTTGAGTGGGAGGCCTGGTTAACCATCCAGTCCTGACCGGAGTCTTGTGGCATGTACAACGTCACTGCATTAATCCAGTGGTTGATTTTGTACCCCTCTTCCCGAATGCCCATGTTTCAGTGGCTGTTTCGGTTCTAACTCGAAAATGATTGCAAATTATTGTGCAAACATTAATCAGGACCTCTTTTAGATTTACAGCGAGTGTCGATAAATTTGTAGGAATTATGATGTAAGGTGCGCAAGGTTGTTCTGTTACCGTCTTAATGAAGTTATTTTAAAGGACTTAAAAATGACGATATCTCCTAGACAAATACTGATTCCTCATTGCGACGTATTGTCAGAATATACAAATTAGCCGATGAGTAACATGGAGTTTTAATTATTCCGACTCGTGTTGCTGAGTTTTTTACGACGAACGAAATGAAATTCCAATAATAACACAGAATAATGACACTTTAAATTCAATGAAAATTCTAAAGGAGGCTAGTTTTGATGTCAGTTTTTGCAAAATAACTGTAGGTCCAATCGAGCTCACATATTCTAGAACAAAGTTCATAACATGAATTTTATCCTTGTTGCCGATTAGACGTTCTTTGAGTAAGATGATTGTATTACTGGTTTATGGTTTAACAACTACTGACGAGCGTTTCTAAGTAAAATTGAAGCTGTCTAGCGGGTTCGAAGAAGATCCAAAGAAAAAAAGGTGAAACAGGAAATCGTCATAGCAGATGTTATCGTACTAGTGTAAATAAGCTTTGGAAATCGCCCGCACTGGGTATTTGAGGAGCTCTATTTCAATTCTGACTTTCATCTCAATCACTCCGTTTTGGCATGTGTGCTTTGAGCGACCTTTGATGTCAACTTAGTTGAAAAGTTTGACGGCCTCTAACTTATGTCGCCCAAATACACGCTTATTTCAGTGTTACATGCACACTCACGTGGATTCAGATCAGATAAAGTAAACTTTGCCTTGGACTTGCCATCCGATGGTTAATCACGGAAGGACTGCGAAAGAACACTGTGTCGGAAAAGAAACATTTGAGAAAAATCTGCATATTTTTGTAAAGTGAAAGGACCATCCTATTGTCAATATTGCGCATCCCTTTTGATTAGGGTAGCTCTTTATGCGTTAGGAATTTTAGATTAATCCTGACGTATTCAACCAATATTGTCGAACTGCCAACAACTACGTGTTCTGGTGCCTGTTTTTCTTTAATCGATATTATCTAAGGATTTGGGCGCGATATCATTGGTTCGTCTGTTTCAATGACCGGGTTCATTGATTGAGAAGATTTGTACCTGGGCTGTGGAGCAAAGCGAAAATGTTTACGCTACCAGGGTCGCTCATGTCAACTTCCACTGTCTACGCAGGTCATTGTACACATTAAATTTTCACATAGGGTATTAAGTTAGCTTTGTAGACATGGTTATTACCCAACACATAATGACCTACTACTTAAGCCACTGAGTCAGTCAGCTGCACGTGGATGATTTCGGAATTCCTTGGAAAACATAATGTATCGACGTTATACAGACAGGTCAGTGAAATAGTTTCACGTATCTTGAAATATTTTATTTACAAGAGGTTCTCCAGTCAGTTAGTTTTAGTGCCACAATTTGACATCATCTATTACCAGCGCATTTGTTCTTGACCACATAATGTCTATTTGCGACAGTAAGTTCACACATTCGCGGTTCCATTCAAGTAAACTGGCGTTCGCGATTCCTCAGGCGAAGTACTGCAGGCCTATTACCCAATTCACCTGACTGCTTACATAAATTGTGCGCTCGCCTTTTCAGAAAGGCGTGTGGCTGCTTAGAGGTGTCAGGCGTGGAAGAGACTTTGTGTGAACTTACGGAAAAGCACGCGCAACACTTGGAACCTGAGTGTCAGGATCCGGCTTAGAAGTGGTACGCATGTGTGTGTGTGTGTACGTGTGCGTGTGGTGACCCCGCTTCTGCATGACTGACTGCTTCGGGGCCTAGTCCAGCTATTGGCTAAATGTCTGCACATATAACAAATTAACTCCTTCATAACCTCTACAATCTGAGACGGCGGCAGTATGGGTGACAACCACTTCCAACTTGACTTCAGTCTGTGTGAGTTGTGCCAACTTTCGTCGTTTAATGCTCATTGTAGCTTATATTCCCCGTCCCGGTTCATTCCCTTTGTCCCTCCTTCCTTCCTTCCTTCCCTTTTAGTAAGTCAGGAGAGTGTGCTTCTATTCGAGCAAATTCTGAAAAGTCTAGTGATGACGACAAATTTGCCACGCGATTTGGCAGTAACAAAGCTCCACGACCAGCCTCTTGACCTTTCCGTGAAATCCGAGTTGTCCACGAATGAGGATTGTGGGTACGGGAGTGGAAGTGAGAGGATAAGCGAATGCAACGAAATTTCTATGGAAGATCCACTTTTGTCCCGACAATGCATTCGCAATCCACTCCTAGGAGTAGAACACCATTGTATGTTTCCAACTTATTCTTGTCAAGTAATTTTGCCTGCATGTTACTAAGCCAACGATATGACTGCATTAAGGAATAATTTCTTGCAAACATGCTTACTGGGATTCTATAACCCGGTGATTTGACATCGAACCACTTAACTTTCGAGGTATTTAAAACAGGTTTCGGCTAGATTGAAAAGGTTTCTGCGTTCATATGCGTACACCTGAGAGTGGAGTTGGGAATCCTGAAGGCCAGAGTCCGAAATATTATTGTTAAAGGATTCACATCGCATTGTGCAACTGGCCCTGTAACCCATTTAAAATCAAACGATTTTGGACGCTCGTCTTGCCTTAAACACAAAATTTTAAATGATCATTATGTAGACGTTCTTCTTCCGTTAGTGCATCCATTGAATCAAACTCCGGCCTAAGTCATTTCCTAGCAGGTAAACACAAGAAGCACTCGATTGATTCTCAATTATTCGCTATAATTACAAAACACATTGAGCTCCTAGTAAAATTCAGTTAAGAATAAGTTTAACTTTCAATTTGCAGTCTGGGAAAATGCGGCACTAATATATTATTATTGGCTAATTGAGTCTAAGGTTACCTCATCCTTAATACGTTTCTTTTAGTTACGGAATTACTGCAGAAGCGGCGAGCAGTAAGAAACTCTCCAGTCCTATGGCAGTTCCTGCTCAAATGCCTAAACAATCCGCAGTGCAATCCAGCAGTTATTGAGTGGGTCTGTGAAGAGGAGGGCGTGTTTAGATTGACAAACGCTCGGCACCTTGCGAAACTGTGGGGTGAACAAAAACACAAGCCCAATATGAGCGAGGAGAACCTCAAGCGATCACTCAGGTAAAGAAGGAGCGCCTACAGCCCCATGCCCTCTCTTCACAATAGCACTAGTCGTATCTTGTCTTGCAGGTATTACTATAGCAAAAGGATCTTGAACAAGGTTCAGGGACATCGAGATGTCTACAAGTTCTTTGCTAGCTTGACCTGAACGCGTCTTCCTTCGATTTCCAAATCCAGACAATCCTCAGACAATTGCCTTCGCCTTTTCTCCGTATTTCTAACATCACTTATTTCTATGCTGTTAAAGGGGAAAATTCCTGCAGCCATTTGTACATATTACCATTGCCAAAAGTATGTTTAATCAGTCAATTGTAGACTTAGTTGTAAATATCACGATGGAGGAGTGAGCATGCAAACTAAGTGCTCGTTCTTTTACATTTACCGCATTTTCGACCCCAGTTAACGACTACAACTCCGCACGAGTTGCAAGGCGAAGAGGATTAAGTTGGCTGTGCTGAGAGCGCGGCCACGTTCGTCCAAACAAAGCACTACCCGTGACCTGTTAGCGCTGATGGCGCCAACCGCTCTGATCACACCTGCCAGTAAACCGCTATACGAGAGACAAAACCAACCACGAAATTGAAGACTTGGTGACTGTTTTGCCTCATGTAAGGCGCAAAGAATTAAGGAGGTCTGGTCACAATTCCTTTAGTGGGAGAAAGTCAATTGCAATTATTTTCCATACGAAGAAAAGAATTCAAAACGTGTTTGTACAACGAAGAGCGTAGTTGTCAAGTGCACAAGGTGTCCTAAATCGTCAGTTATCCGCGTAGTATGCTACACCGGCACATCAATTTCTGCTACTGAAATTACCAACAATCACATTGCATGCACGGTTGGTTCAGAGATCTACTACTGGTGTGACCGACGACAAGCAGGAGTCAGGCTAAACAGCAGCAGCAG